GAAAGCTTGTTGTCGAGCCCTCGTTTTGAGTAACTCACAAGCATCAGATGATTTGGTATCTTCGTGAGTTCAATTGATTCATTTTCTACTTTCATATCCTGGTAAGGACTTGCGTATTCCATGTTTTAACCTAAAGAAAGCGGCCTTGATTGCACAACTGCGCTCTGAGATGTAAAATCGAGCATAGTAACTGAAGTATAGTGTAAACTGAGACTTTACACTTTTCGATTTTTCACTGTAAAAATGAAGTTGCTGTTTGTTATATTAATATTTCGCGTTGAAATTTGATATTTATATTCATTCGCACGCGTGCACTTCAAAAGAATGGTTTCTATTGCAAGCGAGTGATAATGCGGTAGAGCAATTAAGGGGAGCTAGCCCTCCCGTCGGAGCGAATGAGCCGTCTTCGAAAATAGCATTTCCCGTTACTCATTCAATAACGCGCGTACAGTCGTTGATTTAGTGTGACGTCACGCAAAATATTACATATAATTAATCATCAGAATGAATATTTATAGGAATTGCTTTCAACTACATTCCCTTTGCTTCCTTAAAATATAGTTAAATACAATTTCAAATCCTAATAACATGAATAGAAGACGCGCTGAAAACATATAACCTTTCGCCGGCGAATTCTTACACTTTTCCTGACAGAAATTAATTAAATTTTGCCTCGTAGTATAAAAGATGTAATAGAAAATCATTAGAAACAACCCAGACCGCCGGAACTTCCAAGTCTATCTCCATTGCAAAACTGGAGACTGGTGCAATTTTTTACTGTAGATCCTGTTCGGGTTTTTCGGTAAGACTTTTAGCAAAGACATCGTTCGCAGAGTCGGCCAGCCAACTCTCCCCAGATCGCGGATATCGCAGCGCAGACGATCGTCGCTTGATCGATCCGGCTCTATTCGACGCACGATCGAAGCTCAGCGTCGCTTAATAGCGACTTTCTCAAATCTCAACCTGAACCGTGACGAAGATCAAACTTTGGCCATTGGGTGCAAGACATCACTCGATTATCATACGTATTAATGATAGGATTGTTAAAGATCAATTCTTGGCATTGCATGTAAGCCGTCACTCGATTAGCATTCACATGAATGATATGATTGTCAAATATTACACTCGTATTATTATACAATTGCGTGCAAGTCATCACTCGATTATCAAACGCTTCAGTGATGGGATTGTTGAAGATCGAATGTTGACACGCCTATGGTTATTTCACAGTGATCACCAGAGAACGGATTTGTCACTCCATTCAAACAAAACTATTTTACTGGGGGATGTCATGTCCCGTGTTTCTTAGTTCTCGCCGGGACGTAGAAAAAAAAAACAGCAGGCGATCCGGGCTCTGCTAGAGATGGTAGGGACGCGAGATTTTAGAATCTACACTACTCGTTCATACAGCCATTATAATATTGCTGACATGAAGACATTTCGACCGAAGCAAGTCAAGAACTCATATTTTTCAAATAACTTCTATTTAACCTCTGTTTTTAAAATTGGAAAAAGAAAATGTTTTTCCTTTCTATTTACACTAAATTCATTCACGAAATACTGGTGATTCAAATTGAATCATATTCAAATTTCTAAACCCGGCTTCTTATCATTACACCACTGAAATTATATTGAAGATTTTGGTAATGCCTGCTTGGCGTTGCGGATACGCGCAATACTAGCCGCTGTATATTTAAAGGGCTTGGGTTAATGCGCTTACACCAAAACTGTTAAGTCTAGAATAAACTGTTGTAACTAGCTTGAGCCACTGACAATGATGAGACATTAGTAAAAAATTAAGGCTTTTTTTCACTGAACTTACACGATAGTTTAAAAAATTTGAGTAAGATATAATGCTCTTCTGGTCCTCATCAAAGTGCCACAATGTACAGGGTTTCCGCTAGCGGGCTTCCAATGAGGTCTTCCGCCAGCGCCTCAGCCCGGATGTTCTCGCCAACAAATAGGCACATCCGTTCCCGGTCACTGCCGCTTCCGCACCTCTGAATCGTGCCCAATGATATAAAAATTATCCGTAGTTTTGAAACGCATGACGAATTTATGCTCAAATTAATAATTAACAACATTAGTATGTCAATTTTTTCACCCGATGCACTCCATGTTTCTTCGTGAATTTCTCAGAAGGCATCTGTATTAGCAAGTTATGAACGGTGATTGTCATTCCTAGGCTGTTCCATTGAATGCCACGATCCTTTGATCGTTGCTTCCCATGATTCTACCAGTTTAGATAATAATGAAGATTACATCAGTTCCTTTGTTATCAATTTTATGATTAGTTTTAGTCCAACATATGTTTGCAATTGAACATTTATTCATATTTTTCAGCCACGATTCAAACTTAACGATAAAATACTTTCAAGCCAGACGCTTGATATTCTAGAATTGAAAAACTCATGTTTGAGAAGATTGCCAGACAACATTCTGGAAATGCCCTCTTCGAAGATGAAATCTTGCAGAGCTTGCATGATTGAGGGAATTTGACAGCTAGTTTGAACCATAATAACATCTAGAGTCTAGACGTTAGATTAATCGAGATTCGCTGATTTCTTCAATCAGTGCCAGACAAGAAACTTATTCGCCCATATTTGCGAGTAGAGTCAGTGGAAAAATTACTACATTGACGTCAACTCTCCAAATAATAATCAGCAAAAAGCCGCGAGCTAACCGATTGGTTTTATTCCTCTAAATTTACTGAATAAGGTTTCATTCAAAAAGTTAATACATGGATTTGTTAAAGAGCGAGCTCAAGTCTAACATCCTCCGAAACAGAAACGATCATTCTGTGCAGTTGAAGAGATTTGTCGCTAGGGCTTTCGATTAGTTAATCAAGTCTGCGAAACAAAGATCCTCACGGTCCAAGCTGCCAAGACCCGGAACTTTCAAAACAAGCCGACTGTTTATCATGACATTGACTACTCGATACAACTCGTAGCATATGACACGGGCCTTTCCATTATTATTTTAGGGGGTTTATTGATGAACGAAACTAACCAAATTCACCATAAAAATGTCTTATTCTCGCAAATAGAAAGTACGTTCAAGTTGTCCGCGTGTGACTTGTATATTTAGGAGATAGAGACGCGGATTAAGTAGAACAGGAGGTCCGCTTACTCCTTCGACTTGGCACTGAAGCAATTTTTTACTGACAGCTCTATTATTCTGATCTAGAATTGCTTCAGCAAGTGTGACAACACACGTCATACCATACCATACCCCTACTTGGCTTTGAAAATTCTCGAAAATAATGCATCGAGAAATTAGTTTTTAACCAGTAATCTATACGGTTGCAGTGAACTAATCGTTCAATAAACATTCATGTGTGATGTAGAGAAGGACACAACACCCCTCAAGCAAGGTCAATTGGGCCATTGATTAAAAGTAATTTTTCCCTAACTTAATTTAAAAGGACGCACACCACAAGCAATCGTCACATTCCATGAGAAGTCCGGAGCTAGCCGTGTAGCGGAGCAGCAGGCAGTGCGTGCGTTCGTACGAGCGGCAGGAAATGGCTGACATCTCTAGCGTGCCTTCGCTGTGCGGTCACTGCCTCCGTCATGCTTGCGATGCTTCGCGTCATCAGCACGACGTATATGCCATTTCAAATTTGTCACCATTACATCATAATTATTGTACGAAAAAATGGCAGCATGATTCGATGATCGCTAATTCCCAATAAAAAAGAACAAAAATGGGACACGGTAGCACATCAGCAGATCAGTTCGTCACGTTATATACATATTTTATTACCAGCGTGTTTATTTATAATGCGCCCGACCTATTGGAGCGTTAAAAATTGACGAATTATATTGCTTTTCGACTAAGAAAAATTCCAATTCCACACAGAATATTTTAGCGTAGCCTATAGTAAATATGAACGAGCCAAAGCTAGCGAAACCGTTCGAACTTGGTACCTCGTAAAGCAATATCCCTCAACACTGGACACTTCATCAAAGAACTACAAGTAAGCATTGAACGCAACACAAGGATGTTCGTGCATACTAGAGGCCCTATACAGGTTAGCCAACCACATCTCTGCAGAGAATAGCGGCCTCTGGGTTGAACCAAGCGCGACATTCCGATGAGCAGCTGGCATGGCAAGTGGAATATCGGCAGCCAGTTCAGCAACAAACGAACGATTTGATAAAAGAAATTTTCAACATTAAGGGCGTTATATCTAACAACACTTGCTTAATTTTTCCTAAATAATTACCGCGTGTTGGCGATTTGTGCACGATTAATTCGGAGTCATTAAAAAAAAATTTCTATCCAAAGCAATACCTAAATGAATCTTGCAAGCAGCGCCCTGAACTTTAAACTTCATCAATTATGCCTACTCTTTTGATCTACGACTTTGCCGGCAGAGGTTCCCCCACGAAATCCTTTACATAGGCTAACTCTTAAAGGTCCTACTAATACGTGTTTATCTCTTTCACTGCCCTAAAATTATAGTGAAGGATGTATCTTTCGTACCTTATAATTGACTAATAGGAATAGGAGACAACAAGAATCGTATATTCCATTCCTACCATCAGTAATTAATAATATTTGCTTGTAACACGCAACAAACGGGTGCCCAAATGAAATGTGTCTGAAATGCCCCCCAAAAGGTATCTATCATCTGCACGAAATAATTCGAATTCCAAACAAGATACGCGAACGATAACGGTCACCCAATCATGGCATAGCCGAAAAATTGGTCATTACCGCTGTCGACAGAAGCGGAACTGCAGTGTTTTAATAATCAATACTCAATCAGTTCCGCAATTATTCCAGCGACGACGGTGAGTAGCCATATCGTCAGCTCATGAGTAATAATTTATACTAGTGGAGCCTGCGTCTTCTCTCAGAGGATAAATCCAAGGAAGCCAGAAGTGGCAATAAAATCGGAGAATGAGTTGACTTTAAACATGAAAACATGTTATAAAGTATAGCGACTTGACCCGCTTATCATCATTGCGAGCAGGTAAATGAGAATACTTTGCTCAACGTGTAGCCGTTTATTAGACGGACGCCTGCACGGGAGGCTCGTAGTTGTCGGGCCGGTCTACAGGAAGGCCCATCTCCTCCATCGCGGCGGTCACCACGGGCGTCTGGTCACCGTGAATCTCAAGCAGACGACTCACTTCAAAGCGCGGCTTCTTGAGCACCTTTACCTGTTAAATAATGGTCGTTATCAGTGATGAAACCGAGCCGGACATTCGGGATCATGATTCTAGCCGGGCAGTACGAAGAATCTTATACTAAATGATTAGTAGTAGTAGTAAAAGATTTACTAGCGCTTCAGATAGCAATCTATTTGACTATTTCGCGCCGGAGGTGAGGTCTAAATGATTATTTAAATGTATCGGCATCTGATTTACTTGCAGGCATGCATTTTCGCCGCATAACAAATGAAGCGGTCATTTAATTAAAGTGGTTGTCAGTAAATATCAGTTTCCTGTTACTCGATTGCTCAAAAGAACATTATTCTTCATCGTGTCATCTCTCAAAAGTCTTAATTACATTTTTGGATAGAACAGCCATGAAATAATGATCAACTCGCCTAGTCATTCTATGAACCCATTTGAATTTAGTCTCCACAAATTACACTCATTATACACAGTTTTCTTTAAAATTGCTAAGTTTCCGACCATTCCGTGCGGCATCAAGGTCTAAACCCTTTAAAACAGCAAATCGACAACCTAACCAGAATCTCATTTCTTCCACCGAATGAAGACCAATTTTTTAGCAAGGCCAACCAGTTTCTAGTCAAGGCATTGCAAATTAATAGGATAATTTGGACAAAGTTAATCAAGTAATTCATTCTAAAAAGACACGCCCTCCATGACCAAGATATCATCAATTAGTGCTCCTATGTTCAAGTATATCTCACCTTACGAATGTAGACATCCTTAAGAGGGTAAACAGAGTTGCAGCTCTTCCTGATGTCGTCAGCAATGGTGTCGGGAATAAGCTTGCCCACCAGTTCCTTGAGCTCGCACTGAGAGATCTCGCGGTTCATGATCTCCACCATCTTGCGGCGGATGGTTTTAACCTGCTTGCGTTGAGCATAACAAGTTTTCTTCACTTGGTTATTCATCTTCTCAGTGAATCCAATGCAGAAAACGCGGAGAAAATAACCATCGGTGGTCTTGCAGTCAGTGAAGGCTCTGATGTAAGTCTGGAATAGAGCCAGGACGGTAAATATTAACCAACTCGATGCATACAACCGCGTATATGGTGCCTAAGAATAGAATAAACATAAACGACAGTACGATTGTACTGGCAATTCCAAAGTGATGAAAAACAAAATTACGATTTAAGTCAGTAAGACTAAGTGGCATAAAACGCATACCTTCATATGGAGCTTCGGTCATTGACACCGCAATGACTCAGTATTGAATCTTGGACTAATGGTTAATCGTAGCTAGTTTAATGAAGATTTTTATAAATTTGTTGTGTCAATTATCCTATTAATTAGCTTATTGAACCAGAAATTTATTTTTCTTCTGAACGTATTTCTCAAAGTTTGCACCATCATCACTTGTGTTATTTGAAAGCGCCTAGATTCTGCTTTCAAAAATACAGCACAGCATTGAACCATTATTTCATGCCATGCATACTAATTAATACAGATTTGACCGACTGCGGCGTTCATGTAAAAGGGCTCTACTTAACGTTTAATGCATTTAGCGTCATTTCTTAGACTCGGTCGACTTGTCCATCCTTTATACGAGGCTCGTTCTCTGATATTGTCCGGCAGAATTGCCACCTTATCTTGGAATCAAACCTGTTCAATATAAAATTCTATGATTCTGCTCCTTCAGTTGATCCTTGCTCTTCTATAAGCCACTGTGTAATTTATCCAATGTGCGGGATCGAAGGGTACTTGGGCCGACCCTTTCTTAATTAACCTTCCAACCACTGAAGAGCATTCAAGCCATTCTAATTTTGCGCCATAAGCGGCAGTATTTTAGACGGTTGGTAATACACGAATCATCTAGTATTATGGGTGAAAATTCTGGCACTTGCCTCGGGATTTTGAGTGTTATCGGGCCATCAACTACCAATTGTAAGATACTAATCCATAGTGGAGCAGTTATTACCTTTATTTCACAACTTAAATCCACAATTGGCTGCAAAACTCCTGTTGCGTAGTAGCTACGTACGTTATGGTGACATCGCGCCAGTGTGATTTTCTACGTTATTTAGATATTGAAGATTAGGCTGATGTTTTGCATCTGGCTCAAATCTTGAGCAGTTTGATTTGAAATACTGGATCATTGATGCTACAACAGATTATCATTCATTAACTTATGTTACCTCTTACTCTTCCCAGATGACGTCAAGTGAATTCTAGGTTGTTGACACTATCAAGTTGTCAAGAGATCTACTTGCAGATTCTAAAATAAATGATTCGGTAATAGAACAGGAGAAAGAAGCGCATTATATAGGGAAGAAGAATACAAAACTCATCATGAAAGGTACTATCGAGAAGGCAAAGTTATGCAAGAGATATGTAATCGGTTGAGACAGAAAAAGGATAACGTTTAACACAAGCACTGCTGCACCCGCGACCTCGGCTTTAATTAGTTCTTATCTAGCAATGATTCTAAAGAAGATTCTTCTTGCAATTTCATGCACATCGAAGCCAGCATTTCAAACAATTTATGCGATAAAGTCCTTTCAATTTCCATGGTGTCCTTTCAATTTATACGATAACACTATTGATAATTAATTTAAATTGTAATACAATTTTCTCACCTGCCATTTCTTGACCATGCTACGAAGTTTGTCCGTAGTCAGGTCCATGCCATGGAAGTTGCAAAGCAAATTCTTGCCCTGGACATCTTCACAGATGAGGCGGAACTTACGGAAGCTGCGCTCAGCATCAGACTCGTTCTGCAGGTCAGCAAGGGAGACCTCGAAGACGCGGTGCTTCAGGGCTTCACTGGCGATCTCTGCAACAAGTCAATGATTTGTTATTGCTGTCGATAACATGCTTTAAAACGATGTTTGTTTGCTCAAGATTAATTTAGCTTCATTTTACAAAGAAAATAACTACAGAATATAAAGAGAAACTGGCACTAACCTAGTTAAACTGAGAGTATAGTGTAATGCAATATTGGAGCGAGAGAGATAATGGTAATTTTGTGAATCAGTTCTTATCACATATATAATATAATATGAAGTATCTAACAACATGTTTTGTCTCCTGGGTCATGTTTTTCATGTAAATGAGGCATTAATAAACCATTGGTGGAACAAATTTTATTATAATACATCCATTAATTCGATCCCTTTACTCAACACATATCCCTCTAAATTCAACTTGCTCACCTCAATTTTCCACAAAACTAGTATTTATATTCTCAGATTCTAAAAAAACATTTACTAGTATTTATATTCTCAGATTAAAAAAAAAACATTCATCAGTTTATTCCCATCTTCAAACAATTGCACCTAGTGGTGTGAAATTTGAACCAAATCTCGCGAGTACTTCCAGTGTATATATTCAAGAATTGTTAGGCTTGTAACGCAAATAGTTTTTAGTTAGGAAGCTAAATTCTGAAAAATTAAAAAATAAACGCACATGTTGAATTGGCATGTTATTTGGATACCAAAATTTAAATTAATGTTAAACATAATGATAAGGCTGGGCTACATAGAATAATTACAAAGAAATTGGTGAACTTTATTTCTCTAGCAATGACCATAAAAATTACTCAAACAGCACCCAAGAACTTTGACAAAATTGGAAAACTCCGAATTGATTTTGATACGAAGGAGATATCTGGTTGCCAATATTTTGATTTCATTGCATTATAAAAGATTCTAAATGACCATAGAAAGTTGGAGGGCCTAGTAATGTATAGACAATTTATAAATGGGTGAAATTTTTTCCACCAAAAATTAGCATGGGTTGCTCCTAGCCTGTGACTATACATGTATATTGCTAGCATTGTGAAATTCTAGAGGGGATTTTAAATAACCAAAAATACATGGCAAATTGGAAAGGCCACCACATAATCAATCAGTCCGGATAGGATGAAATCAGAATCCTATCAAGAAGATGACATCTCAACCATTCACAGTGGGGGCAGGGACATGTATCTGCCTAAAAATGAAAGCAAATTTATGCTGCTATATCCTAGAATTCCAGCCTGATGACTAGTCAAAGGACCACAAAAAATGTTTATGTGCTGCACTGTAGGGGTAAAGAACCCAGTAACAAAACAGCTGAAATCAATAATTGAGAACAGCATGCATAAATATTGGTCAAGCTTATGGTAAACAAAACTCACTTGTTCCTTGTGTCCTGTTGACAAGCGTCTTGCCAACCTGACGGTTGGTGAACATGCCAGGGGCCTTCACATCATACCAGTCCTTGCGGGTGAAGGGATCAATGCTGCAATAACACAAAATTCATTATAATAGGAAGTGATTAAATGAGAACTACATTAAATCAAAATGAAATTCAGATCAATGTAAGAGACTCAATTTACTTTTCCACAGGATTGCAGGAATTTCAAAAACTGTTGACAAAAGTAACGTATATATCTTAGCAGTAGACATGATTAGTAACAAAGAGAAACACAACAATTGGCAAAAACAATTTGTGTAATTGAGTGTGTTTACACCACAACAATTTGTGGTGTAAAATAAAAACTTTAAAAACCCACGTTCTCTCAACGGGCAAAAAAAAAAGAAAAACATTTACTCATATATAACATTACATAACATTTCACATAACTTCAATGTTATGTAAGAGTTAATATTTTTCTTTTTCATCCATAAAGAAAACTTGGTTTTTAAATTTTTTTTAATCGTTTTATTTCATTGTTTTTAGTTTTATAGCCACCAGAAAAATGTAGCTTTTAAAAATGTTTTTTATGTTTATTTTTTTTTACTAAAAAATTTTTTCTTTAAATTATTACTTCTGATTATCAAATCTTGAATTGTTAGGCAGCATAAGCATGCATGCTAAATTTCATGTTTCTAAGATCTTCAGAAGTGCTCTAAATTAAGGTTTGAATTTTTGATGACAGACACAAAACAAAAATAAGAAAAACGTGGCAATAAGTCATTGAATTGAATTAGTAAATGTCAACTCAATAATAATAACACATCTGCATCACAGGAACCACCATTGTTCTAAGTCGGCACATGTTACACAAACCATTGACAACACCACTCATGAGTCAGCCATATTGGCAATATGAGTTTAGAAAGTCTTAAGGTAATTTCTTGCACCTCCACCTCAACAGGATCTCAAATCTAACTTTTAACTATACTATAACACACATGTTAAGTACACCACAAAAAACTAGGAAATATTAGAACAATGTGCTGTTAAGAATTAGCCTAGAATACGGCAGCCAGTAAACACTATGAACCAATTAGGTGTGAATTATAAGGAATAAGTTAAATGGTTAATAAGGGAGAGCAGCCCAAATGGTTCAATAAGGAACCATAAGACAACCACACACTCTATTCAAGCCCAAACTGAGACTCACATCTTCTTCTTGCTGACCCCTTTCTTGGGAGTCTTTAATTGCTTTGTCTTACCAACAGCCATGGAATCTTTCACTTATTAAATGCTCACAAGATTGAGAAAAGTTTATTAGGACAAGTTGGTGGAACATATTAAATGGAGAACCCAGCTTACATGCAACCATTTAATAACCATAAGAATAGATTTGCTAAATAGTCTAAGCCTTAAATATATATACATATGGGCCAAGAATGAAAATCTTGGACAACAGTGCTACTCACAACCAAAATGAGGTGAACATTTCAACATTGCTTAGCTCATAGCATCCAATATCAAGAATTTGGAATGACCTCATAAAAAAAAGACATTACTCAGTTAGAAACTCCATAACTTGTGTGATATTCTGCTCTAAGCATAAAAACTGCTAGTACCTTATTAAAAATTTCACCAGCAACTTGGCAGAAATAATTAAAACTCAATACCTCTGGAATGCTAATCTTGCACTGACTTTAAAATGAACAGCAGCAAAAAATGAGGCCATTCCCATATTGTGGTTTGAATGTGTTAATACCAACTATGGCTACTGCCTTTGGTGAGGTATCATCTCATGACAATGTATCATGTTCATCTCTTAACAATCTCAGCCCTCACTTGACAGCAAAATATTGCAAATGCATTTGCTGTGGTAAAAACGCACTTTTTCCATTTTTTTAATCGCTTGTTTTTATCATGACATTCTTGTGGCTGAATTTGAATTCAATATTCCTACTCATTTGGAAAAAAGTTAAATTATTTTTGAACTACTATTTTGGAACTCATCCACACCTAATACTGTAATACTGCTATATAATTCACCATTGTAGATTTCACCTTTCACCAGTGAGGTTTGGAAATGCTTATGATAAACAAGGGATTACTGTACATTTCTAAGTTACTCAGAACAGCATTTTAATGTCATCCAAACTTACAGTATACTGGTAAGATATTTCAATTTTGGTTAAAATAGTATAATGAATTGATAGCAGTGACTTAAGAGCTTGATTATTCATTTCAAAAATTCTCAGTTTCTGTTGAATAATTCAAACTCGTAGAGTGGTGGAGCTGAAATTTTGGCAATATCCTAAATCTGTCAATTCCAAATTACTTTAGATTTGTTAAAATCAACCACATTGATGCTGAATAAGTAGAAAACATACTTTTAAATAGAAAGTTAAGGTGATTTTCATTTGAGCCTAACACTACTCAACTTACAATATCAAATGCCTGTTCTGTTTTTCTCATCCACAGCTGCTTAGTTTTGGATTGCCATGTTGTATACTTTAATGTCCAAATCTATTCCTACTAAGGCTATGCTTTTATTTGTCTTGGTTTTGCATATTTCATGTGGTAAGAGAAGCTACAAAGCAATTTCATTTTTATGGCATAGGGTTCCAAAGTCAATGTTTTCAGAGAAAAAGTCCCCCTCCAAGCAATAGAAAAAAATAACATTTGTCATAATGGACAAGATGACAGCTGGACCTTGCCTTAATAACACTGCTGATATTTATTGCTCTGGCAAGTGATCCAGTTGTATGAATATTGATAATATTTATGATATTGGCCTCTTCACAATCTCTCCATCAGTTCATCTTGATCTTAAGGCTGGTAGTCAGACTGCAGCAAAGTCTGAGAGCAAGATATTTGTGACATTCAGAGCTGGGCAGTAGCATGCTACATGTAGCAGCCACTACATTTTCAGTAGCAGTAGTGGTAGCGGCGCTACATATTTAAGTAGCGATACGAGGTTTTGCCGCTACAGCGCTACCGCTACATTTATTGATAAAGCCTTTAGATTTTACTTAATAGTATTAAATATTATTCAACAAATTGACTCCAAAATGGTACATATGCGTACCACAAAATGTATTTCTCCAGGAGTACTTTATAGAAACTGAGCAAGTTAGCCTATGTATTTTATGCCTTTAAGAAGTTCATTTTTTGCCTCAAATAACAATGTTGGATAGAAAAAGTGGTCTTGGTGGATCGAAATAATATATGAACCTTCAAAATTAGAATTCCATCCTGCACTGAATTCTTAGAATTGGTATATTTTTAATTTCCTCATCTATGAGATTTGAACCAATTTCTTATTAATGATGATGCTTTGCTGGTACCCATGAGGCCATGATACTTTGCTGGTCTACTTATAGAACTCGGAAATAGCCAACTTCACGGTCTTCAGGTGTAAGGAAAAGGAAGAGTCAGAAAAATTCTCTGCTTTGAGACTAGGCTATGCCCACCAAGAGCAGTTTAGGGAAAGAAATCAGCTTCTCTAATCATTGAAATTGAATTATTAACAATACAATCCAAGTTTCAAAATGCATCTAAAAATTATTGCTGTCTCACATTTCTCCTAGCCTAAAATTTTCCCATTTATTATCTCATTCAGGGCTGAAAATTTCAGCATATGAAAAATTTTTTTAACATTCCAAAAAGTAATATTACAAGCAAGATGCAAGAAAGTACCTAAATTACAACTTACATGTAGCTACCTAGGTAGTACTATGCAGTAAAAAATGTAGGTAGCCTACCTACCTGCCTAGCTACCTACCTATAAATGAATGCCGATAGTAACATACCTAACGATAAACATTACAGCAATGGCAATGCTAGTAAATATGAATGCATGGTTGCACTTAGTTTGAACTGTTGTGTGTTCTTCAGCAATAACATGTAAAAAAAAAATTTACTCTGAGCAGCATGAAAAGCACGAAAAATGTCTTCCATTTATTATCTATCTGAACATGGTGGGTTGGATTCCCAAATCCTAAATAGGCTACCGGTAGAGTTACAGTTACACAAGCCAGAAATTTACATTTTCTACAAGACTCGTTCACTTAGCTATTTGGCGATGGCCTAGTTTGAAAATAACTAAATGAGCAACATTAAATTTCATTTAGGCTACACCAATTTCAAAACTGACAATGCAAGATAGAAAATTGAACAAGTTGATAGACGAGGGCCAAAACAGCCATTATTATACATAGTTGGGCCTCAGACTTTCCACAAGTAAATGATAACTTACGCTTTCTTTTTAGATCCCTTTTTCCCGGGTTTGAGATTTTTATTTTTGCCGACAGCCATTTTAGATTAAAACACGAAAAGCCGTCCCCTAACAATTGGCTCGCTAACACTCCATCAACAACATATCGCGAAGAAGACGTTGCTGATGGTTCTTGAAATACTAAGCGGTGAATCTAAAGGGAACACTTGAAAAATTTATGTTTCACATAAATATAAAATATTGTGTTTTACTATAATATAATGAATTTCATCTTACTTTCGAGTGCTACATTAATAAATCAATCATATTTGATTATACCAAATTACAAGTTAACTTACGCGCAGATTTCTTCATTCGTTCGGACCGATTCGACACTTCAGCGAACTCGCGTGCGAACTCGCGTGCGAACTCGCGTGCGAACTCGCCTGCGAGCTCGAACTTCATTTTCAACTCTGGCACTCATAACTCCTTCAATTATGAACGGATTTTATTCAAATTTGAAATATAAGTAGATAATATCAGTACGCTGCGGTGAGTATTTTTTTCAAATAGGTAGAGGGCATATTAGCCTGTGTGATTAAGTGCCTAAAGCCATAGGTGTCATTTCCTTTCCTGGATATGAATCAATCAGCCAGATAACATCAAGCCACCGAAGCAACAGCCGTGGGCAAATAGCCAAACTGTTGCGTGCTTGTATTAAACACAGCCTGGCGTATTCGTGGCTTTTGAAAATAAGCGCCCGACATAACAGCGCCGTTACGTCACAGCCACTGCTTCATCGCGCTTTACTCCACAGGCTAAAGCGCAAACCGCCGTCCCTATAACTCCATGCCCCGGCTCTCCCCCTTCGCAGCCAGCAGAAGGCTTTTCTCGTTGCCCGATCAGTGATGCGCATGGCGCGATGGAGGGACCTAACCTAACCAAACCTGGCGCACAACTGATCAGCAATTGAAGAAAGTCTTATGGCTGCGAAGGGGGAGAGCCGGGGCATGGCGTTATAGGGACGGCGGTTAGCGCTTCTGCCCGTGGAGTGCGGCGGGATTACGCCAGTCCTGCAAATAGCAGAGCAGGTTTACGGTGATCCGGCGTGGTCTGCGGCCAGTAAGGCTTACGGCGTGTGTAAGACGTGATAGTATGGGGTAAAATTCTGTGGAGTAGAACCTGTTGACAATTGACTATTTGATTCAGCAGGCTGTGGAGTGAGGTATGTGTTGCGTTAGGTTAGGTTAAGTTAGGTTAAAGTTGGTGTGAGGAGATGACTCAGTTACCTACAGCTTCTTGGGTGTGAGCTGAGTTTAGTTATTGCATTATAGGGTAGGCGTTGGCGCCAGGGCTTATTTACGAGCTAAATTTGTGGTGTAGGGCTGCGCTCCCTCTCGAACAAAGTAGAGGATTGAAGTGAGATTAATTATGCTCATGCCAGCATCGACTGAATTTTTTGGCTTTGATTTTAATAAGCGAGCTAAACGCTGAATTAAAGCAGATTTTCCGCACCCAATTTTGACAAATATTACCTTAATAAACATTGAAGCTACTTATTCACAAAATTATGCTGCTATCATAGTAAGAATTATTTATGTCCGCTTCATTTTCATGTAGCGTCTTAAACGTCAAGTTGTGGTCCCCAATGCACGCCTATCTAACTTAGCGTGTAGCGGACTGCGTGAAAAAATTCTAACAACGCTAGCAGGATTGTATTGCGAATAAATAGCTTTGTTGTTAATTAGGTCATGATCGGTTTTGATTTGACAAATTTATGCACGGTAACCTGCTAAAACGTAGCGCAGCGTGCGGAATAAAATTAAAGCGGACAAAGAAGGAATTATAACCGGCAATGCTAGAATGAGCATAATGTCAATAAATATCTCAATTTTAATTTGGTTCAGATTGGTATCAATTTGACAAACATATGTGTGGAAATTCGGTCCGAACGTGTCGATGTGATCCATACACCTCCTTTAGCCGTACCTCAAGGACGGACGAGGGAGGTGAAATGAGAAAGAAATATGGGATATAAAGGGCAATAGATTAGATTAGATGAAGGGCAGAAGTATCTAAGCCAATACTGAGAAGAGTGACTGGGAGAGATATATTCTTTAGGATACAAGGAAAAGAGAACCTATTTTACCTGACAGCCTTCGAGGAAGGATTAAATACTTATGGCTGAAAGGATAGTCTGGCCATCTTTTAACAGACGGGCCAAACGATATACACTAGCAGTAAGATCTTGAAAATTTCATTTCGGGATTAAATGAAGACTTTGGGGGTCATCAGTACAGAAAGCGATGTTGGATGACAGTATTAGGAAGTAAGATGTGGAATGGTTGGATAATCCATAGGAAGTGACAGACCCATCAGGGGCTCTCATGGATAGCCCTGAATTCTGAGGCAGACAGAAAGCTAGCAAGCGTCAAGCCAAAGTAAAAATATAAGTAACTAACGGACAAGATTTTTTGATGCGCGCCAGAGAACGATTTCATTTAGAAGAAGTGCATGTTCGATACTGGCTGACATTTCTCAGCAAATCAACGGCAGCTGCTACCGAGTGGGTAAGAGGCCATCGGGAGTTGAAGCTGGTCCAAAAGTTTGATAGAGCATTATATGCCGCCTGTGGTGAAGGCTTTGTCGTGGACACCGAAATACTTTTGGTCAGGCAAGGACAGAGTCGGGTGGCAAGTTGTAGAAGCCTGCATTGACGCCCATAAGGATAACAGAAAAATAAATTATATGTGCTGTTCGGTCGTCTACGAAGGAGTACACGGAAACGTTGTGAGCCTCCTTCAATGAGCGAATTGTCCTAAATATCGAGTAGGTGCCCCAAGGTTCACGGGAAGAATTGACCGTATAGTTATAGGTGGCTAGCAGGTGCGGCCAGACTAAAGGATGACGATGCTGAGATGGTAGTTAAAAAGATTAGGTTCACCAGATTAGGTTCAAGAAGTCCTTCGTGTTGGATTCGTTCAAGAAGCCGCGAGTGTCCAGTGTGATTCGTTCAAGAAGCCAGCAGTGGAGATTGTGGTTCGCGAGGGTAAAAAGGGCTCGGCCATTATCCTCTTCGATCTCGCATGAACCACTGCGGTTTGGGCGGCGGGAGCGCCTCCCATTTTTGGCTAATTACGAGTAAGAGTTTTTGGCATATGAACAATCGTATTTTTTATACACTTTGCGATTAGAAATTTCTCTCAAATGAGTTGTGTGGTAGCCAGTTTGCGTACATGATTTGGTCATAGTTGCTTGCAAGATTTCTTGAGATTTTCTACCTACTTTGCACTCATGATTTGCAGGTTAGTTCTTTCGTGACTTTTGCCTATTCAACAAAATGTTATCTCTATATACTCACACAATATTTTGCTTCATTCGAGAACGTGATTTCGTACCAAATTGCATGTTAGATCTTTCCAACAGGTTACATAGAGATAATTTTGGTATAATGGAAGGGACGCGAATGAACAAATTACGGTATTTTTTTGTATATAACCTACCGTTATCTACGATAGATCCACGCGGTTTTCTTGCATTTAGGAGTCCCAACCCATTTCGTCCCATAAGTAGGTATCGGAAAAATTTACGGCCGGACCCATGGCAATAAATTATTTATAAATAACTAAACAATTCGAACGAAACTTTGAATATACAAACCTAACTACCCAACGGTGATGTTTAGCTCGCGACAATTTTTTTATTTGATTTTTCCTTCGTTTACGAGTATACGGCTATACGTACACGGCTCTTTGTCAAGGCAAATTTAAAAATCGGCCTCAGAAACGCCGGTCGTTTCTCCGTACAGCCGTATAACTCGCGAACGAAGGCAAAATCGAAAAAAATTGTCATGAGCTAAACATCACCAATGGGGGGTTAGGTTTACATATTAATAGTTTCATTTAAATCTGTTCAGTAGTTTAGAAGAAATTTCCTGGTCACTGCAAATTTCGGCCCGAATTGCCGTATAACTTTCGAATGAGGGTGAAATAAATAAAAAATATGAATATCAAAGTAAAATCGAAAAATCGTTACGAGCCAAATATCGGCGTTGTGAGGTTAGGTTTGCATATTCAAAGTTTTGTTCAAATCTGTTCAGCGGTTTAGAAGGAATTTAATGGTCACTGCAAATTTCGGCACGAATTGCACTATAATTCACGAATGAAGGTGAAATGGAGAAAAAAATCACCAGAATGAGAGTTATGAGACCTCTCATAGCTGTCCAAGTGGTTTAGAAAAGGGAGATCATTTCTATCACGTGTAAAACAAGTGCAGTTGAATTTAACATGAATAATTCATATTATTCATGTTCCACATTAGACAAATTCTTTGTTTTTAATGACATCTATAAATTATATCGATTCGTTGTTATGGAAACAACAAGTTTTTGGAACTGTATTTCCGTCTATAGTTTACGAGGAGTATTGGCATTTTGTAGGATTCCCCTAGTCAATTGTGAGAATTTTATGGTATCTATAGGTACTAAACAAAGATGTCGAACCATATTTATTGTTTTTCTTAGAAGATGTGAAATGTACAGAATAGTTGAAGTAATAATTACTCGTTCGCTAATAAGTTTCATAAGGTAAAGCATAAATAACTGGATTTAAATTAGGTTATTAATAGCTATTTTAGCTAACTTGCTAAGTAGTAGGAGGCTAGGAGCAATTCCTTGGAAGGTAAATACCTAGGTACCTAATTTACAATGTAGGTATATAGCTATATAGGTAGACTACCTATGTTATGTTATGTGCCCAAACAAAATATTTTCCTCTGATCTTAATGTAGCTACATTAGCTATACGTTTGAAAAGAAAATAAAATATAGAAAAATTCTGTATAAATATAAGTAAAATACAAATAAAAGCAAAAAAGCTATGAATTTTTCCATTTAGGCTAGGCTAATCAAGGGTTTCAAAAATGGACCAATTTTTGGCACTTTTTTTTAAATGCTCAATTCTACATTTCCTATGACAGGCCAATGGCTATGAGCCAATTTCAAAGATTTTAGCACCATTAGAAAGCTCTTGATGACTTGATGTACCTAGGTTGTAGGACAATAGGACATCTACGGTATTGTAGGGTAAACGCAGTACGCACCATATTTTACAACATCGTGGCTGCATAGTGACAAACCACAGAATTTTTAGAATCGGTTCATTTTTAATTTCCTTATTTACTCATGATTTAAACCAGTTTCATATGTAGGATAATGCAGGTATCCAGGATACTTTACTGGTCTACATATAGGACTCAGAAATGAACTTGAGGGAGAGTCTAAAAAACTCTAGGCTTTGCCACTATGATCGTGGGTAATTCCAACACTTCTCTACTTTTTTCTTTATATTAAGCATTGTCTTAGTTCCACACTTCCACTCATGGCTCATGCACCATGGTCAGGAAGATGTGCCAGATGCGCGGGAATTTATTTTGTCATTTTAACGACCTGTACGGTGCGCCGTACTATGCTGGTAAATAAATGCGCCATGCGCCTTACTTTAGAAAGCTAAAATAGTTCTACTATTTTAGTCGATAATATACGCAATTATATTGACTACGCAAGTCAAACTGACAATAATAAAATGTAAGACATGTCCGGGTTACTTCTGACTCTTCCGCTTGTCCGCCTTGTCGGATACGGAACGTACGGTAATCGTAAACTGTGGCTATTATACATACGAAATGTAAACAGACAGTGTTCAGTGTTGCCATATGATTTTGGAGAAAATTTCTTCTAAAATAAAGTTCTAGATTTCTCATTCACCAAATTTCCATATCAAGAAAAATCATATATTATTGAAAGATAATTAAAGGCATACTGTACTGACTACTGAGTAATGTGAGTATTACGTCTGTTCCTCCACAAACTGCTTGTGCGTGGCAGCGCGATGTAGAATTGATGGCTGGGATTGCGCGAACACGTGCGCGAAGAGAATCCATTTTCATTACATTGCGCCAACTGTGCACAGCAATAGCTTAAAAAAAGTGAAAATGCGCGGGAAAATTCACCAAAAACATACATCATCCTGAGTGTGGCTCATGCATAGATTGTTGAAATAGTGACATCATACAGTCATACTATTGCGTACCAGATTCCCGCAAAACACTAAGTCTGGCAGGAAAATGTTAAGACCCTCAGAGGATAGTGGCAAAGCAGAGAGTTTTTTAGACTCCCCACAAGTTCAATTTTGAGTACTATAAGTGGACCAGTAAAGTATTATGAATACCTACCAGCATTATCATACATAAGAAATTGGTTTAAATATTGAGTAATTGAGGAAATTAAAAATGAACTGATTCTAAAAAATCTCTGGTTTGCCAGTTGCCACTATGGCTCAGAGCAAAAGTCTGTCAAGTCCGTGGTCAGAAAGATGTGCCAGGTGCATGGGAATTTAAATTGTCTTTTAACAAACCTGAGCGCTGCGCTGTACTATGCTGGTAAAAAAATTCGCCATGCGCTATCACACACCGTATGCACAAACGTATATCCACATTGTGCTGTGGTTGGATATGAAGATTCTTTCATAGATCATAATTCAAGCAAACATTAATCACAGAACTAAAGAAGGCAACATCACTTGAGTTGAGCATCACTAGTGATTGACTGGTTTCCGCAAGTAGGGTACAAACCAGTATGTCAACGTCAGGACTACTTTCATGTTCCCAACATCCTCCCGGCTGGTGAAGTAGACATGATAAATACCTGATAACAATGCACATAAATGGACTATGCAAACTAGGTCAATACGGCATAATTACGAAGTGTAATTAAACTATGCGATACAAAATATGAATATCTATATTTTCAAGATAAGTCAATGGTCTGTCATTTATTTTTGCTTCATTTGAGCAATTATGGTTTCCAAATCTGGGTGTGCTATGTTATGTCAGGTATACTTTGCATGTGCAAAATTATAACTATCATATGACAATTGTTATGTAGGTTATCATAGCACAAATCGCCATAGAGTATCAAGATTGCAGTTCTGCCACCGGCACCACCCTTCATTGAATTATCCCTTTTCTTCTAAAATTCAATAATCTCTCTTCCAGCAAAGTTTGCAAAATTCATTAGCTTCATAAATTGCTCTCTGCTGCGGTGTTCTGAGTTCCGGTTGACATGACATCCGTTTGCTTGTTTGACGCTAATTTTGTAAAGGTTGCTTCAGATAAATTAATCTTTGCCATTCCCAATTTCCCATGTTCCACCCTCAATTTAATGTACCTAACAATATTGAATGGCATTATTCATACAAATCTGTATCTATTCAACTTTTACATTTTAAGATCTGATGGAAGCAGCAAGCGTCCCTAACAATACAAGGATGTATATAAAAACATTAATGATCTAAAAGCGGGCTTCACAACAAAAAAATTTTTCAACATGGCTATTATTAAATAAAGATCATTACTTGTAGTTTAATAAACATGAAGTCTCCCTATTAAAAAGTTATATTTCGTTGGTCAAATGGTCATCAAAGTTTTTATCAACTACTCAAGTCGAACTAACAATAATAAAATGCAAGACATGTCCGGGTTACTTCTGACTCTTCCGCTTGTTGGTTACAGAACGTATGGTAATCGGGGTGGATAGCTAGAGGTCAGCATAGCCCAAGTCTACAGTGCGATTCATATACCTTCCCGAGCGTAATGCAGCCGGGCATCTTCACGGCTTTTGACACAAAGCGCCCACCACAAAAGCGCAGTTCAGTCACAGGCCGGAGCACAACTGGCTGGAGCGCAGCAGGCTCTACCGCAACAGCTACTCCTAACATAACCTAACCTTACCTAACCTAGCCTGCGCCACCTGTTGCGGTAGGGCCTGTTGCGCTCCGGCCAGTTGTGCTCCGGTGCAGTGAAGCAGTGGCTGTGTCGTGCAAAGCAGATTTACTGTTAGCCGGAGTTGGAGTTACCCACAGCTCATTGATCTGAGGCTATGTGTAGATATTGCATGCTGATGGTTGGTGTTGGGCCCAGGGCCTGTTTACGAGTCAATTTTGTTACCCACAGCTGCGCTCCCCGGTAATTGTAAACTGCGGCTATTATACATACGAAATGTAAAGAGACGGTGTTCACTGTTGCCATATGACTTTGGAGAAAATTTCTTCTAAAATAAAGTTCTAGATTTCTCATTCACCAAATTTCTGTATCAAGAAAAATCATATATTGTTGAAGGATAATTAAAGGCATACTGTGCTGAGTATTACGTCTGTTCCTCCACAAAGTGCTCTTGCGCGGCGTAGAATTGATGGCCAGGATTGCGCAAACACATGCGCGAAGAGAAACAATTTTGATTACATTGCGCCAACTGTGCAAACCTGTGGCATTATAAAACTCAATATGCAGGGGAAAATTCCCCGAAAACATGCATCATCCTGAGTGTGGAAGTCAACTAGTGAGAACATTGAAACGCATGTCAAAGTTGATAGTTGACCTTGCTCTACCAAATAGTGATAAAATGTTTGTGTAGAAGGAATATTATGGTTTGAGACTTTTAAATAAGTCTGTGAATAGGGTAAATGCGGTATATTCCAACACATTCAGGATGTAGCAATAAATGAATGGCTATAAAAATATCACCGTATGCGCAACTCAAGTTCTGATAGGTTTACGTCACTCTCAAAACACCACACTACGCGCCAGCAACAATGAAATGTCACAAACTGTTGCCATATTTATTTAAAAGCCTTTAGAATTCAAACCTACAAAATCCCTGAATTTTGACGCTACGTGTGACTAATTTTGGCATGTTGCGAGACTAATTCTGGCAGCGCTTCAAACTCTATTAATTTGTAATTCGTAATTCCAGCACCCTGTGTTGGAATTCCGACGCCCTGTGTGAGCTGTATCAGAATACGACACAGCTCCGAATGAGCTTAATTAAAACATTTTTATTTTTTAATTAAGCTTTTAATTAAGAGCTATTAAGCTTTCAATTAAGAAAATTTTAATATTTGGATACAACTCAGAATGAGCTGTGTGTGTCTAATTCCAAGTTGTATCGGAATTAGTTTTTATGTGTCTAAAACCGTCGGTCAATTTAATCATCTATTAATTTATTTACCACTTGAAATCAGCAAATACAAGTATACTGTTGCCGCGTGTCTCCTGCGGGTGAGGCAAGCACATTGCCTACTCCTACTTGATAGGTTGGCAACAACCTACTTGGGGTGTGGATAATGATGAGACTAAACTTGATCTTTTATTACTGACAAATGAAACAGAATTTAGATTATAGTTCAATTAAATGGCTCTTGGTTATGCAGTGAACGCAAGTGTGGTGCATAAGTGAATGACGAATGTCGGTATACAGCAATCCCTTGATTAGCACGGTTTTGAATACCGCGGTTTTGATTAATGCGGAAAAAAAATTTGCAACCTACCCTTGATCTACGCGGTGCCAGTTTTGATTAGCGCGACTTTTTTTTCACAATGCATCATTTTCCCGCCTCTAGCCAGAGGTGTTACATTAGTGCTTATTAGATCTTATGTTGTGCTTCTGTTACGACTTTGGAAAAATTTGCCAAATGTTGTTACTTTATGAATTTCAGCCAATAATTCTTTAAATAAGGTCCCGTTCAAACAGGAGCATGGAACTAACATGGGTAGGAGCATGGAACTATCTAGAACAGGAGCATGGAACTAACATGGGTAGGAGCATGGAACCATCTAGAACAGGAGCATGGAACCATCTAGAACAGGAGCATGGAACTAACATGGGTAGGAGCATGGAACTAATTTTGCGGTGCAATTTGCTTTTACTTTTGGCCATAATATTGACCCCTGAGTTATGGATGGGGCAGGGAATTCTATTTTATAGGTTAAAATAGTTGTCATCTGCATACAAGGAAATTCATGAATTCTGTTCAAGTTGCTGACTAGTGCGCAACACTACTTGGCTACAGAGTAATTTTTCTATGGTTTTTATAAATGCACTTCTCTGAAGGGCATTTTTGAGGTGAAAAGAGGTTCAAATAAGTAGCCCTCCCAATATCAATACAGTGGAAAGAACAGTTTATACTAACCACATATTTTAATCTTGGTTTGAATCAACTTCATTATAGTAGCCAGGAGAAAGACTTATCCCTTGGATTTCCTTATTTTTGTATAAAAGCAATATTTTTCAAGCATTCCTATTAATTTGCTGAAAAATGATGCAAGTTGAGAGTTGGTTCCATGTGAATACAATGCCTTCATTACTGTAACTCATGCGGACGCTATTCACGCAAAGACTGCAATAACCTTGCCAGGCTATGGTGACTTTATTGTGCCCATTGCCGATATTGCTGGCAACTTAAAAGTAGGTATCAACTATATACCTCTCAACTTCTGATGAGTCAACCCTGCACAAGTGTAAGATTTAATTTTTAGCTTCTTGTTTTGATATTTTATATATTCTAGCAGGTTTTCTGAAAGTAGCTTGTGTCATTGATGGTAGCTTTCAAGCCAGAATCATTTTTTGAGCCACAAGATTTCTGCCATATGAATTAAGTCCCTTTTTTTATATTTTCTTATTGTTAACTAAATTCTAATGTTAAGTGTTAACTCCAGAGAGTAGATCTTCTCCACACTAGATTAAAATTGCCTCATTATTTTTGCTCTGTACATTAAGAGAAGGCATTTCATAAAACTGACCATAAAAGGCTGCTAGTAGTGCTAGATTGGAATTTTCATACTTGTGAATGAAATCTCATGGCTTTAACATGACCAATTTTTAATAAATTTGACAATTATGTGGCCCAATCATACAGTTGATAATTCTTCTAGCCTGACGGGAATCTCATGACTCCAAAAATGGCAGGAAAGCTCTAGTCACGGCACAAATGGTAGATGTATTCTGCCTCAGTAGGGCTGGAAGCCAAATATACATATAGTCAGATGGGGTAAGACAGGACCGAAATCACTAACAAGCCCGTAGCATCTATACCATGAATAATTAAAAAATCCTAAACCTATCACAAGGTGTATCTATGCAATAGGCTTCTAAGCTACAACTCTGACATTTTGCATCTAACATAGTTTTCTGTACAGATTAAAAAAAGTGAGCTGGTCCCATCTTACCCCATTGGGGTAAGATGGGACCAGGCATGGGGTAAGACCTGTCTCTTATACACATCTAGATGTGTATAAGAGACAGGAGCTTATTTCCCAAGCAGGGTTAACTATTTTGTGACCCTTCTTTACATAGGTTTTCTTTAAAAATTAGCCAGAAATTCATTATTTGCAGAAGAGGGTTGAAACAAACACTGAAATGACAGGCAATGATTGCTCTAACATATTCTTTTGTCAAATTAAATTCAGTGCAATTAGAATGCACGCCATGGGCTGGTCCTTTCTTACCCCATGAAGGCTGCGATCCTGTCTTACCCCATTTGACTATATACTGGTACACGCTCTGTGCCATACATTCAAAATTTTTGTTATGCATGCATTGTACAATTGTATAGACCATGGATGCTTATTAGTGCTTTAGTTATTTTCTTGCTCATAACTGATTATGAAGCCCAAACTGTAAGACTTTCCTCTTATCTGGACTGATTATTTTGTAACAAATGACATCTGTAAAATTGTAGAAAAGGCAAAAAGAACTTGACCTGGCTGGACTTAATCCCTGTGCCCTGTGGATAGGTATCTAGCAACATAGAGAAGTATTTTTTACTTACCTGACCCTAACTCTAACCCTAACCCTAACCTATTAAGGTTGGCAGTTTTTAGAATGTCCGGTAATGTAGCTCATTGATTTGTGTTAACTGGATCAAATTTTGTTCGTATTTCTAGCCCCTGTCTGGTAATGTTACTAATCCTGTTTAGGCAAAAATATAGGCAAAAATATATGTACATATTTGGCCCAGAGAAAAATTATTCATATGGATTTATGCTTTGAGATCAGGGCACAAGATATTAATCAAAGTAAATGGTTGATACTCATCTATACAGTGTTGGACTTGGTTCTAATTATCTGCATCACAAATATATTTATTCAAGACAATGCAATCCTAAAAGCTCAGTAGTACTAAAACAAATATGATAAGAATGAAGACAATTTTCTACTTATATTGTAAATCTGGGAATATACAGGATACATTTTCCCAAATTTACACCAGGTTGAACTGACCTGAAATAATTGATTTTACCACCTGGTCTAAGTTACCCCAAGAGCTGGGGTAACAAAGACCATCACTTTTTTTTAAATTACATAAAGACTATGAGAGGCAGGAGCCAGCAATTTATGGTGAGTGAAGCTAGAGTATAGACCTGTATTTTGCATGTTTCAATTCAAGTTTAATTTAGCTAGTAAAAAAATGGCATCATTTATAAAAAAAGTGGTCTAAGTTACCCCATTTTACGGTATATAATATTGGATATGTATAATACATACCGGTATATAATATTGGAGGTAAAAAATAGATTTTTCTAATAATTTTTAACTGCTCATATCCATCTTATTTACAAGATATATAGGGATAAAATTGCTACTATTCATACATGGGACTGATAATGTATCTTTGGCTGAATGTACCTACTTTAGCAATGTTTGATATAGGTACCTAGTTAACTTGCTAAAAAAAATCCTTAACAAATAGTAAAATCTTAAGATGTCTTCAAAATGAAAGTTATGTTTTATAAAAATTTGACAATTCAACTAATGAAAATTATTGCCAATTTGTGTTGATAGCTAAATTTAATTAAGTCGCCCAAACTACCTCTTAATAGAGGGTTTAAGAAGAGAATAAGGTACTTCAGAGTTAAAATCATAGACTTGAGAGAGGAGTTACATTGATGCAATGGAATTATATACTGCCATACATGACACTTATTATTATGGCTTTATTTTACAAGCTTTGACCTAATTGAAATCTTTATTTTCAGAGACCACAGTCATGGGGGCAGATCAGTTCCTCCTCACATGGAATAACCACAGAGCTAACTTTGCTTCTGTCTTCTCTGATTTCAGACTTCAGGTAACCTTGCACTAGAGTTCAATTGTATATTAAGTATTTTTGGTTGCTTTTTTTTTGGTTTTGTTTAATTTATGGTGTCAAGATTAAAATAATGGATTTAATCCTAGATCCAATAAGCAATTTAATCTTGCATATTTTAAAGGTGAAGTAGTGAACTGTATTATTTATGCGATCCATTCTTCGTATTTGATGAGAACTTCGTATTTGATGAGAATCATGAATAATTACTTGATACTGTTAAACTGAATGAAGATGGCACAAGAATATAATTTGATATGTAGAAATTTTTGACCTGCTTGAAAATGGCACCAAAATTTTATTTTTAGGGGCCATACATATATGACCATGATTTGGCATAAGGTCCCATTACTCTCAGTAATGTGGATAACAATCTTAGCAGATGTCATGGCTAAAGTTTTGTACCTGGTTGAAAATGTATCTGAGATGCAATTTGGTGCTCATTTTTTTCACAGTTTTATTGTGAAACTTATTAGTTTTGTATATTATGTGTACTAGTTATGACACTTCTGAGTTTTTTACTGGGCAGACACCAGTAATATTAATTACTTGAAATAATGGCCCTGAATTGTGTTGACTAGGAACTGCTCATTCATGGCTTTTGTTATTTGTTTATTATTAATTTATTGCACAACTGATTTTCTTATCCTATTTAAACCATTTACTGCAAGTATTTTGAATTTTATTTAAGTACAGGCAAGTTGCTTAAAGCCGTATGTTGCAAGCTCAACTGTCTCTCAACTGTTGATCATGTTTATATAAAGAAGATATGGTTTTACATCATTTCTTTGTTGCAGGGTCAGCTCGTAGATGTTACACTGCTATGTGATGGAGGAAGCTACCCTGCCCACCGCCTCGTGCTCGCTGCTTGTTCTCCTTACTTTGCCTCTCTCTTTTGTACCCTGGACTCGTCTCATCCTGTTATTTTTCTCCGCGATGTCCGGCAAGCTGAACTTGAGGCTTTGCTGGAGTTTATCTACAGAGGACAGGTTCCTGCAATATTAATACCATTTACTTTGAATTTCTGAGTTATATACCGTATTCATACATTTAATCCACATATTAAAACATAAAATAATTTGATCAGTTATACTTTTGACTACATATTTTTTGAAATTTTTATCTGTGGCTACTAAATTTACCAGCATATAAATATTATACAGTGATGCTTTTCTCACCTTACGTTCATTGTTTCATGTGTATTCTGCTTCCTTGTTTAGTAAAGAATTTAGCTGAAAAATATTGTGTAACCCTAAACAGTTGAATTTTTTTAGGTGAGTGTTGCCAACAGTGAGCTTGGAGGACTAATAAAAATCGCGGAATCTTTACGCATCAAAGGCCTGGGAGATGTTTCTCAGCGGGAGCCCACCACATCACCAACTCCTAATGGTAATCAGCAGCTTCTCCTTAACTCTGGCATGAAACGTTCAGCTTCTCCCAACTTCTCTGAGACTCACTCGACCACCTTCTCTCTGCACAACACGGCCAGTGGTGTTGGTGCTGCTGTCTCATCCAACCGAAGCAAGAAAGTAGCCCGACGTACTAATATAAATCAGCCTCAACAGGGGTGAGAAATTGCAGTGTTACTGAATGATGACATTATTGATAGACTGAATAAAATGTCTTTATATAGGAGGGATTTATTTTTAAGCCCTTTACTTCTTATTTCTCATGTTCCTGATGTAAATTTCACTAGGTTTGTATGATATTGGTATTTTTGGCAGCACACATTGTGGTGCAAAATTTCATGTTCCATGTACCTGCGTTTTGAGGATGTATGAGAGGTAAAAATATTTAAAATTGAATTATTTCATGGGATTCGTTTCTGATAGAAATGAAGAGAACTTGAAGAACATGGTGGGCACTTCAGGAGTTGCCTCGACTGCCAGCACCTTCCTGCCTGATCTGAAGGCCATTTTGACTGCGGCCAACTCGTACACACAAGGCCTCGCTGCTACCTTCCCAGCCCTTGCTGCTGTCTCTGCTGCTGCTGCTCACTATTCTAAGCAGGTGATTTTTTATATTCACGTCTGAACCCAAAACCAAAGTAAAAAAACCTAAAGCTTCTAACAAATTTGTTCAGAATTCAGTTGCCAGGGTTCATAAACAATCTAAGCTCAACATTTGGGCATTTGGAGATATTGAAAAGAAAATCTAGTAAGTATGGTGTTCTAAAACTTGAATTAGTTGAATCAATTCGCTTTACGTTTCATTTCATTTATAGTCCAATGAACTTTTTGTAATCTGTTATTTTATTTTCTGTAAAATGTTAGCAGGCTAATTACTTCAACATTAAATTTACAAAAAATACTTCATATATCAGAGTATTGACTACGAATTTTTGTGATTTTCAGAATGGAAGCTATGAGGATAACAATTCTGGCGGTGAAGAAGGATACAAACTTCGGTGGTGCCTTGAGAAAGGGAAGGAGCAGCTGCAGCATCAGGCTTCACCCAGCAAACTTAAGACCGAACATGAAGAGTCTGCTGAGGTCTGTTTATTATTGATGCAGATTTTGTTATGCAGCTATTTTGTTTAATGTAACTGTTGCTAGTAATTACAAAAAGAATTGATAATTTGTTATAATTTGGAGTTTGGTATACTCTCCATGCCGTTCCCCATTTGGGTTTAGTAAATTCCAACTACATAGTGAACAAGTGAATAATTAAAATAATATTTCAGCAGGAAGTGCAAGAATTGGATGACCCAAGTAGCAACGACAGCAGCTTTGAAGGCAGTCAGAATGCCTGTGATGCAACTCAGTACGTGCAGGATGACAATAATTCAACTTCAATGACTACCAAGACCGACAACTCGGCGGCTACTTGCCATCTGTTGCAGCAGCTCTACACCGGCACGACCAACGCTGCTGTCTCAACCAGCGACGTGTCGTCTCTGCTCTCGACCTACCAGCAGCTGCTCACGTCCTCGACTGGCGCCGAGCAGCCTAACGCGAGTGTGTGCCTCTTCAAACTCAATAAAACTCGTTATACTACATAGTCTTGCAACTCTCAAGTTGTACCGAGTTTTAGTACAACTCTTTAACACTCATCTGGCATCACGATATTGCAATGTTTGAATTATACCAACTGTAGGTACAGTTTAATCTATGCTGTCTGACAATGGGGACGTTTCTTGTTGCATGAGCGGTAATCTTTTGATTGAGATGGGCTAGCTTTTAAACGAATTTTAATAAAGAAAAAACTTTTCCAAGTTTCTTCTCCACTGAATTGATAAATTTTGGATGTCAGACACGGCTTCTACTTGAGCAGATAATATCAATTATAATATTTTTATTGAACAATCCTCTGTTTTGAAAATAAATAAATAGTTCCATATTGTCTCTTATATGATCTCCTGAATTTATACTTATTCCTCTTTAATTAACGATCGCGCTCATATTTCTTTTTAAATCTTGAAAGTGTACTTCATTTTGTTAAGGTGTCATGGTTGATGAAGACGCCTCTACTCCTCACTCAAGCTCCGCCATCCCAACAACCATTGCCGACGTCTCAGCGCAAGCCAAGGATGCTAAAGTTTGCATTGTTCCCTTGTTCTTTGCAATATTTCCCTTGACATGAATGTTTCAATAGGAATTTTTGTTATAACTCTGTTACAGACGAGCAGAAATTATAGTATTCTATGTTTTTATTTCTCCCGGAAGTCGTTGTTTAGATTTTCAAGGACCTACTGATAATTGGTAGTTAAATGTGTTTTACAATTGATCTTGGGTCTAACATCAAAATTTTCTCATCCATTACTGAAACCATTGATTAAGCCAACCTGTACTGTGCCTTTATGAAATTGAAATTACAATGAATTACGTTGAAAATAAGATAGCCAGAAGTATGATCTCTTCAGATGTCCAGAAGTGAGTAACTGAGTATTCATCTCTTCTGACTCACGTTTAAATGATATGTTGTGTTGCAGTGCTTGACGTGCCAGTTGTGCGGAGCGAATATAAAACACACGGCAAACTTCCGGCGTCACATGAAGCAACATCTGAACCCCCGTCGCTTTCCTTGCCCCTGGTGCAGCGCTGCGTTTGGACGCAAGGACAATCTCAAGACCCACACCCGGTCAGTGCTCAACATACATGCAAAATGCGATAGCAACAGCAACACCCATGTTGCAACTGCAACATCCATGTTGCAGTTGCACCCATCCATCTAATCTAAAAAATCCTTGGATTTCCTTCCGATCTCCCTCAATCCTTGCTGTTTGGGAGGGCTTGGGAAATTTGTTGATTGTAGAGTCGATGTTGTTGGTGATTCCCTGGTAAATCCAATCTTGGTAAATTAGATCTAAACAAATTTTAAACCGATAAGAATGACATGGACGTGGTGAGGGGTGACAACCATGGCTACATGGGGAAGCTATCTCAAGGAATCACTGGGGAAGACTCATCTCGTTGGTACCGGTTGAAAGACCCTGGGTATTATTGTGATCAGAAACTTTGTCTAAGCTCACCGGTACTCCGAACGACATTAGACAATAAATTCATTGTACATTTCAAATGCTTGTATGTAGAGCTAATAAAATAAGATCAATTCAGGTCTATAATGATAATAATTCCTGGACTGATGATATTTTTGTTGTGTTGAAATAAAGGTCACGTTTTGCTTAGCTTAATAACTGCATGAACAAGGCCGGGCGGATTTAACCAGTTGCTTCTTTGGTAGCATGACGAGCACACGGTGCCAGGCTCATGAAATTAATTCATCTCTGCCATTCATGCCTAATTGTCCACGCAACCGGTGGCCCTTGTAGAACCGTTGTTGTGTCTTGAAGTAGTTTTGTGAACGATGGTGATCGTTCACTGTTATCAGTCATTAAATACCCACATTCTATTGATAATTTCTTGGGCATTTGTTGACGTGGATACCGAGAGTGTTATTGTACAGCCACGTCTGACGTAGTCGTCTTAGTAACATTTGCGTCTGACCTTACTGCAGTAACAGTGACGTCGTGACAGGTCAGATCTGAGTTGCTGCGAGTCGGTTAGTTAGTCGTGTATTGCAAGCCTTACTGTGAGGTAGCACCTAGGCTCGCTCCGCTGTGCTGACGCACAAGAGATCTTGTAGTTGCTAGATCTTGTGGCTGTGCCGTGAAAGATTTATCAGACTGTTTATTGACCATCGAAATTTTATCCGTGCCTTTTTTTAACAGTTCCTTGCTGAAATAAAATTACGTTTTAAAGGCTTAAACTGAAGTTTTAATGAACGGAATCCAAGTACAATAAAATTCCAGCGATCGAATATGTAAAAAATATTAGCGATAAAATTCAGATAATTATTTTCAAGAAGATAGTTACCGGCGCTTGGCCGTATAACTCGTGGCCGTCTGACAACATTGGAAAGAAAATTGCGGCGACGTCCGGTGACAGTTTTACTTGCAATAGTCAAATAATTAAATACTTTGCTTCCCCAGCATGTCCTACAACGTACCATTTAGTTTTCCTTTACAATTTTGTGAGATTCGTTTCTACTTGCGCCCCCACAAGTATTTAGTGATTTAGCTTGATTGTTGATGTTTCTTGTAACTTGTCTCGACAGCTATATTACTTTGTTAAATGACTTTGACAAAATTTCATGAGTTCAGTATTCGAACGTTTATTCAATGTTGTCACTGAAACAGTTATTGGATAACAAGATGCATAATTTATTGCAATTTTGTTTCTCAACCGTTTGCAATATCGCCCTCTCGACATTAATTATAATTAAAGTTCATGCTATCTTTGTAGTTTACTTATTACATCTACGAGCATTGATCACAGAAAGCACCATCCTGCTGAGGTGGAGGCTCAGGAAGGAGGAGGTGTGACCAGCAGCCAAGGAGCCACCACGACAGCCGAGGACGGTGCCACCCTGCCTGCGGACGCTGCAACCGCCGGCCCTGTTGAGTGCAACCAAACTATCGAGGATGCGTGAGTTGTACTACTTATTCTGGTTTTAAATATAACGCGGAGTATGCACCCTCTGTCTATCAGAGAAATGAAAGGTACCAACATATTGTCCAAATAGTGAAATACTCTTAACCTTGAGCACAATCTGGCAGCATACTCACTTACCCTCAGAGGTGGGCAGTAGCGGTAGCGGCGCTACATTTAAGGCAATGTAGCGGTAGCGGTAGCGCCCGCTACATATTTAAGTAGCGATACGAGGTTTTGCCGCTACAGCGCTACCGCTACATTTATAGATAAAGCCTTTAGATTTTACTTAATAGTATTAAATATTATAAACCAGCATGATACATACATAATATAAATTACAGAATAAAACTGTACGAAAGATTTCGGTGTAATGTTGTCAACCTCAGCCTGTTACTAGTGTCAACAGTTACCCTTTACGGGCGGAACTCGGTTAGAATGAGACAAACACAGGAGCAAAAATAACATCAATATTTGGGCAAAGTGTAACTCATTTCTCTGGGCGTATTGATACATCAACCCTCATCAATGCAATTCGTATCTAAAAAATGTGTAACTATTTTTACCTCCAGTGGTCGAAGATTTAGAGAGTGGATGTTGAATAATTTTTTGTTCGAATTAAATTTGTTTCGATTAAGGCATTTTTCTTAATGTGGAATGCTCGATAATGAATAATTTGCATTGAGCGCTGGCAAAAATGTTATTCTGTATACCCATACTTATTTTAGCATCAAGTTAGTTGCCTTCAACAATCTAATTGATTTTAATTAATAAATTTGTTTTCTTGGCTTCGTCCCTGAACTCTCACAGTCGATTATAAAGCTACTTATTAGTGATGAAATGGATATATTGATGTCATCTAGAGTTTTACGCTGTTGTGCCATCTCGTTGATTAAATTAAAATTTGCGAACTGAAATTCTTGTATTGAAGCACATAAGTGATTCACAACATTACTGGAATTTGCATATGTCCAGTTTTCTTTCTAAAGATCAGTATTTGTTTTTTCAACCTTTCGAATGAAGAGTAAAATCAGAGCTCAGTCAATTGGTAGAAACAACAAACTATTTTATGGCACCAAGCACCGTAGGGGAAAACTATTTATTTCTTGATCTTGCTTTATCATTTGTTTATATCTTTCTTCATTCTGCGTTCTTAACTGCAGCTGCAATGATAAGGAAGACGACGCAAGTCCTGCTGCTGAAGCGGACCGAAACCTGAAGGCTCCAGCTGAGCTCAAGTGGAGCAAGAAAATTAAAACTGAAGAAGAAGATGAAGAGCGTCGCGAAGAAGAGCCTCTTGTAATTGATGAAGATGATGAAGATGACGACGATGAAGAGGATGATGAGTATTAAGATGATGACAATAAATAGAATGATGAGTATTAAGAGTTGTCAACGCTGAAATCAAGAAGTTACTGTAGGTAACAGTTGAACATTTTGTTTCATACTGCGTTGTACGGACTCGCTTTAGATTGTCGCTGCAAAAATTAGTTATATATTCGCATTGCTCTTCGTTCCATCTTCAAGTATTAGTATACCAAGACTTTCAAGAGGCATATTTATGAATTGAAATGTCGCCGTTAATATCTTTTGATCGAGCTTTCATGGTAAAAAGGCTTTTCGGTGTTGCCATTTCTTCTGGCGCTCGCGAGTCCATGCAAAATCGTAACGCATATCTGTTGTTATTCGAACGTTCTTTCCTGAGGAGTACGTCTCTAGGAAACACAGTTGTGCCGATGCTATTTTTGAGATATTTCTTATGTGTGCAATCTTGTGCAGCCGTTACGGCATAATTTAGCAGCGATGGTAAAGACCTTTGATGTGATTTTTTTATTTCAAATCTGTTGATTTATTTTATTCTAATTGTTTGTTGATTTGCTTCTTATTTTGCTTGCTACTGGGCTGCAAATGTGATCTTGGTGCCTATCGATGTGCTCGCCTTTCTTCTTGCTCCTCTAAGAAACCGAATCTTACAAATCATTCGTTTGATGGCTATTGAATCAACTGACTTTCGCTACATTATTTCGCGAATGTTGTCAGCTTGGAGTTTTTACTTGAGTTTAATGTACGGTAACTTTAATGCTCTCTTACGTAGTTTAGACGCTTTTTATGACCATTGTTTTTCTAGTGTTTTGCTAGTACGAAAGCTAGGTTGCGATGCTCGCTTGCCTATATCATGGCTTCATCCCTTCCTGTGCTTTATAAAAAACCGAGTGCCTTAACACAATAATGATTGTAGAGTAAATGAGTTCTTAAATGCTAGACTCAAATTTTTGGATTCTCAATAATTGTTTTGCAATGGCAGCATAAAATGAATATTCAAAACGTAATTTGAACTGAATTACTAGATCTATTAATCTTCTTGCTTTGCTCATCAGTCACCGGGCTAAACAGGCTTCAAGTTATAGGGAGAACCGGGTGCTTTTACGTTGAAAAATCTAACCTCGTTACCTTTAAATGCTAGTCCCTTCCAATGAAATTAGGTAATGTCCCTGATAGAGCGTGTCGGCTTGCTGCCGGTTTGGATTAAAGCTTACGTCTCTTTAATACCGACGTTATTCTGGTATTCGTCTAGGCCTTCATTTTGTGTCATGTTCAGCTTGATGTTAAATTTAATACCTTGTTTCTAACATTCTTGTATCACCACTTGACGTTTTAGCGATTGTCTCGTCGCTTTTATCTCGCCTATGCACGTGTGCCATTAATGGAAAACATTTCGCGTGTGTATCACTTTAATTATGTAACGGTAATTTCATTAGATGTGTGCCTTTGTCTGGCGACTGTATCTCGATGCTGCTCAATCATGTCCTGTAGATTAGCTTAGATATAGTACATTAAATTTAAGATGTGTGTTACGAGTGATTTTTCCCTTTGCATTGAAACTGTTGATTTTTGTAATACTTTCATTTATAGGGGACAGTTGTAACTTCTTTATTGCGGTGTAGTAGTGATTTTTCTGACAATAATAATCTGTACTAGGAATACTTTATTAGATTTATCGTTTATTGGGTAAAATGAACTCGGTTCTTCTTTGGTAATCTGATTGGCTTGCCATAACTCTTCAACCGTAGTAATGACGTTCGCATTTTCATTGAAAACCGTTAAATTATTTATAGAGAGAATTACTACACGAAACAAATTTCTGCTGTTGGAGTTAACATGTGACTGTGTTCATCTTCCTTACCTTGCCTTATAACTGGAGTGCCTTACACCCGTGATCTTTTGTACGGTAGTCAGTCCTGTAGCTAGAGTATATTTATAGCTTTATTAATAAGTCTTCTGATCACTCAGTAATGTTTCCTCACCTGATTGCTTGTACGTCTTGTATTGTAGTTTTAACTGAACTTCAACAAGTAATTTTTTCCTCCGGCAAAAGAAACAAACTCGGGTTAGAAAGTTAGTCACTGTTGTATTGTACTAAACATTGAGTTCAAATTCACTAAATACTACGCTGCAATATTCTGATTCGTATGATCCCCCGCTGTATGGGATGTTCACTTCTTAAGGCTTGAATCAAGATATTCGATTACTCAACGCGAAGGCTACATGACGTTTGTAATGTATTTGTGTGCGTGTGATCTAAACTTAAGTTTCTTCTAACGAGTGTTCACCCTTGTAAGCTAAAAGTGAAGTATCCCAACTGAATATTTAGAAATCCAACTCCTTCAAACCTAAAGTTTTACGATCGACTAGCTTGTAAGTATCGATGTAGTAACATCACTCTTACATGCTATCTATCGTGTGGAGATATGAACCATTTACCACCGATGCAATAGTATTCTTAAGCTACCTACGAGATCATGCTGTGCCTGTGGCATTCATCTCCGAATCGAGGTTACCGTATTAAGCTGCCATTTTGTCCATGTTCGTGTGTGCGTGTTATTTATTGTGAAATATGTCACCGTATTAGCTCTTTGTTATATTTCTTGTATCGTTATCAGTACAATAATGTTGTGAGCTTATTATTATCTGTTATGTGGCGTACACATGTTTCTTTTGCCACCCTAAGTACTTATTTCGTTGAATTTAATTGTCTGGTGCATAGCGCCATTTAGAAAAAGTAATGTTATCATTAGTTTTTTGTTTTATATTCTGCATTGTGAATTTTTCTAGCCATTTTTATTTTATGCGTTTGTCTATAACTGTCGATAACAGTAATCGTCTCACGCATCGTTTTCAAATAATTTTTTATTTTTTTTTTTAATTTGTATTAACATTTAACTTTTATTGAATGTCTTATGTATTATCGTGTACGTGTGTGCACTGTTCTCGATCTAGTCCATAACCTCTGGTTTGGTACTAACTATGTCACTGGCAGCTAGTCTCGTCCTATGTGTTAATTCATCTTCAAATGGATGAACTTTGTTCAAGTCGTATGTCTTAATTCTGTTGTGCAGTATGTGCTAGCTAGCTAGTGAGCTCACCTCGAGGCCTCCTTCAACAAATCATAGCTTGTTAATTTATTCGTTATTCGTTCGTTCCTTGATAATTTTTTCTGATCTTTTCGATCGCTGTGTATCTTGTTCTCTGTATTAGTGATTTTGTGCTTGTTTATTGCCGTGTAATGCGCGCAATTGACATGCGTTTGAAGGTAAAATTGTTGAATGTCACTTATGGAACTCGGAGCTAAAATTGAGAGATTATTTATCTCCAGTTTAGTATTATTCAGTTTGCGTACTAATATTTACAACAGTGCATTAGTAGATCTGTATCTTGTTGCTAGAATTTTTTATATTTGCTGTTAGCGTCTTGACCATCTTTAGTTTCGCTTCAGTTGTTTAACAGCTGACTTTTTTTTTTACTGTCCATATCCCAGTCATTCTCACAAAAATCTTGAAATTTATTATGTTGAAACTTCAGACTGAATGCTCTTTCTCAATGAACTCAATGGTGCTTAATTTTGTTCCATCAATCACTAATGCTTTTTGATTGCCAGTCGAAAACCTGGGCCCTCAGAACTCGTTCCGGGTCTTGAAGACCTGAAATGATTTGTTGTTTTTAGTGTTTTATGTAACGTTACCTCGCAGTTAAAATGCAGTCCAGTATTTGTTCTTACGTATTCACAAACTTTTTCAGGCCTTTAATTGCGAAATTTATTCTTTTAATTTCTGGAATTACGTATTTAGTTTATTAATAGGTATTTTCCAGCCCATGATTCATAAGATTTTATTATTGATTCCCTGTGGATTTAAATTCTCAAATCAAGGTATTATAATTTTTAAGTTGTATCAAGGGCATGATTATTGTAATTAATCTGAAACGATTTCGATGGAATACTTCGCCAAGTTAGATATGATCGGGGTTCACCTGATTATTAACATGGCTTGTTTCAAGTTGACTGATATCAACGAACTGTTACTCACGTTTGTTGACGACCCGGTAATTTAGTTACAAATTGCTTGCTTTTTTGAAATCGTCCTTCATTGTGCATCAACTTAAGCGTTTAATTTAAAATTTTTACCGCTGCTAATTTGTGTTGCTACTTTTTGGGAAATTTGTTTAATCGGCAAACCCTCCGTAAAAGCTTGATTCTTGGATAATTTAATTAAATTCAGCATTTATGTGAATTTAATTAAATTACTACTATTTTTATTATGGAGTTCAATGCGAGTCAATATTCAGCTTGTTCAGTCTATAGGCGTAATATTTTAGAGGTTGTAGATAAACCTGTGTTGTGATCGTGCATTTTGTTGCTAGTCAATCCTGTAACGTTTTTTTTTATCACGGTGTGACGTAAAATTTTGTTTCATTCCCACACATCGGAAACATGGTGCTTGATCCTTGTGAAAAGAGACTCGGCATTGTGCATTGTAACCATTTATCAGGCATAATCATTGCCTTAGGACTAGCTCCTACTATATCAGGGCGACACGATTCGTGCAGCGGTTTTGAGGATTTCAAACCAGTAAATAGTATTGAAGTTTTTACTTGAAATCGGCTAAGAGGCCGGATGGTCCAGAATTAGCAATAGGCCAATTAGGCTTTAAGAGACACCGCGGTTATGCATAGTCTCGCTCAACCTATTCACGTTGAGCAAAAGATCAACACGGTGCTAAGAACCCTGGCCTCACATTAAGAAGACACGATTTATTTGAAGCTCAAGTTTTCTTAGCTTATTCTCCCAATGAAGTTAGGACTAATCGACGAGCGAGTCGAATATTGCAACTTGTCGATTTTCTGAAGTGTGCGTTAGAATTTTACTCTCAGTGAAAATGAGAACAGTTGCTCTCTAACTATTGGAGAGACGTTCCCAGAAAGTGGGTTGAAAGTTATAACATGGCCGTCATATAGCTAATTTGCAAGTTGTCGCCTGTGAAGCATCTATGGTGGCTCAGTTGGGATTTACTTCATTGAAACGAGCATCAAATTGCTCAATCCTCAAATATTCGAAGAACCAATGCGTTAACAAGCTCATCAAAAAGTGCAGTTTCATTCGATATAACGCTTCACCTAAGTCCGGAATCAGATATGTAATTCTAGAGCAAGCCAAGACGGGATTAATCTGCACTAGATTCATTCAGCAAATTTCAATTAGGTTTTTGCGTCTTTTTGAGAGTATTTCTAATAACGACGTTACACATTTCAAGCGATGATAATTTTTCCATTCGAAGGATGTAAAAACTACAAGGATTAATGTGAAACTAAGTGGATTTTTCTGTTTATTTGCTCTCATTTCATACTGATGATGCAGGCGATTTGTTTGTAGACATGAGATTTGTCTCCCTACCCCAGTATTCACTCATTAGCACCCATTCCCCATAACGGAGAGGAGAATGATGCAAGATCCCCAGGAGAGCCGTGGAATGTGCCCGGGGGACAACAACCGCACCTCAAAAACGAGGAAAGAAGCTTCGTCCAACTGCCACCCACAACCCCTAACACTAAGCAACAATAAACCGTAAACAAAAATAACAGGGATCTTCTGAAGTGAAAAGAATTGTTGGCGTCGATTGGAGCAAACTTCTGACCAGTTGTGCGGATTAGAGGAAAGCAATGAAGATGGGATCTTACACGAATACCAAGTTTCTACTGCCACATCAACTAGTAGAGAAAAATGGTACTCTTAGTAGTAATCCTATTTTCTTGGGCTAGGGTTAGATGATTATAAACTTATCTGGGGTTATGTCGAGTCAAAGCTTAGGCAACAAACGAGAATATGCTACTTTTAACTAGGGTAAATGAGAAATAGTTTAAGCTTCCTTCTCCAACTTGATGAGCTCAAGGATGCCATCCTGCATCTCCTTGACAGCCTGGTACTCGGTGAGACCCATGCGGCGCTTGTTGGAGATGTCGTAGACGCCTCCCTCGGCCTCGGTGTGCTCACCGCGGGTGCCGCGGACCTGCAAGTTGTACTTTGTGGCAACCTCCTCAAGCTTGGCCTTGTTGGCGGCAAGCTTGGGCACCTTGATGTGCACCGAAGCACGGATGGTGGTACCAAGATTGGTGGGGCAGAAAGTTAGGAAACCGAGACGCTCAGAGTGGCTGAAAGGAACCCTCTTTTCGATTTCAGTGACAGCGGTGACCAATCGGCGGTACACTTCACCGAGATCACCACCCATCTGCATGGAGATGATACGGAGGTGATCCTCCTCATTGCACCAGACGAGGAAGGTTTTCTTATCGTTGTGGTAGATACCGCGACCAGTGGGCCAGTATCTGCAAGCGTTGGCGGCCTGCAAGAAACGGTCACCTTCCTTGAACAGGAAATGGTCATCGATGAGCTTCTGTTGGACGTCCTTGGCCATGCCAGTGAGAGGGTAGAAAGTACCCTTCAGCTCGCCCTCGAGACCGGAGAGGGTGGATGAAACCTTCTCTTCCATCTCTTTGTACTGAGCCTCAGTGAGGCAAGGGTTGAATGGGTATCCCTGCATGGAGCGGCCGCAGCGGACGCGGGTGGAGATTACGTACTGACCCTCGGGGTCGACGTTAACGAGCGAGTTGACATCACCGAAGTCCTTCGCTGGGTGCTTATCAGTCTGCGAGAATCCTACATGGTAATCCTCAATGATGGGGTCGAAAAGAGGAGCGAACACAGCGTAGGCCTCGGCATCGGGGGCATACACACCAACTCCAGAGTCCAAGTTCTCCACACCTGATGAATGATGAAAATTTCTATTATTTGAAAAACGTTAGACGAAAGAAAAATCTGCTATTGTTCCTGCTCAAGCACAATTCACACTACCATTTTTAAAATTCTCTAACTACTGAGCAACTAGGACGCTTCTGTGCAAGATTCGCTCTGCAGGCAAGGTAGCGGATCAATACAGGGGAGCGGGCATCAGACAAGCAACTCATGGCCAAGATTAAAGCTGAGGGCGAGTTCAAGGTTACGAAGTGGTCTCAACCGGCAACCTGGCTGGCTCCCGGCGCCAGCAAACTGGAGTTGATCTAGGTCTCTAGTCTTTATACGTTTACTCAATATCCTCTACGTATTTTGTTTTTCTTCTCATTCTAATTTTTAGGATTAACTTCAAATAATATAATCATAATGTTTGAACCTCGAAAAATTACATTAGTTCGCATTGGAGAAACAGGCGCAGACGTCTTTGATGAACATCATTAACTTAATATCAAACTAAACGCCAAAAATTTTGCTATAATTCGATATCTCTCGTTAGCATAGTGCGAGACGAGCCAGTCGAATAGAGTAATCCAAGTCTCGTGCTAGTGGCGCAGGTGCATTCACGACCGCAAGTGTCATCACAGCTGTGCAGGGAGGTTCTGTCTGGATCGAAGCAAGATGGCGGACTCCAACTTTCCAAGGTGACATTACAGTGCGAGAAAAGATTATACAAAAGCGAGCAAATTTACCTAAAAATCACGCACACTTATGATTTTTTTTTTCGATTGCAAAATGTTCAAACAGAGGAGTCAGAAATGTTCTAGTAACCGAGAACCGTTACGGTAAGAAAATTGCATACCGTACCGTTAATAAGAGTTATCAACTACATGCTTCCGAAATATTGAGTGTTAGCAGCGTACAGGCACACGTATAAAAAAAAAAACCAGTAGCAGCAGGATCGTAGCAGTCAGTATGTTCCAAGTATTTTCATACTAGGGAGATGCAAAAGCATGGCACAATTAGGAGACAGATGTTACAAGTAGAATTCCCATTTTACGTTTCGATTCGTCAATTAAATAATTATCAGATACCAAATTAAAATTGCATGTGTATTTTGAAACTCTTTACATCATTTTTCTTGGTTACATTACGTTTAGTGTTTCTCCCAACATTAATTCAGTTTAACCATCAGTAAAGAAATTCGAAAATACCAGATTCTAGAGATTTCAGAACTGCACCATCCAGTTCAATCATATCCAGCGCAACGCCGCATTAAGCTGCTAGTTCATCAATAAATTACTATACATTTCATGATTTTTCAAGATAACAGATAAAAACATTGTGACAAATTTTTGGTAAGGTCTACCTTGAGAAGCCGACACCACAATAATGTATATAAAAAAATTATTCATCAAATCGACTACATACCGGACTGGATGACATCGAGGAGGGTGGCCCCAAGACCAGTCTTCTTGTCCTTGAGTTGGTCGAAGACGCTCTTGGTGAGGTACTTCTTCAGCAGCGACTTGCAGTCAGTCGCATCCTGCAGCTTCTTGAAGCCAGCTTCAAGCTTTTCGAGAACAGCAGCGTCAACCATTTTGTCACTGTCTTGGCTGCACGCAAACAAAACTTTTCATTAGCAAGTGCCTTGGCAAATATTCCCGTCAAAAGCTCTTTACTTGAACAATAAAGCTAACTACGCGAGCCAGACGAAACAGCATTGAAGAGAATAAGATATAAATACGAGAGCCAAGTTGAATTGGAAGCCAAGCGTGACATCAGTACGGTTTACGAAAAAAAACGTGTTTCGGGAGCATCAGCTTGTCCGTGGAGTACGAAGTCCTAAATTCGTAACTCTTAAGGTCAAAATGGAGAGAGCAATTTTTGTCATAGTCGTGGAGAGCATCTGTTTTCACTTTCCACAAAATTTTCACAACTAGATTTACTCTTTAGATTGCATACCACTATTTTAGTTTATTCACTGCACATTTAAAATACTCTTGGATAAGATCGCAAAAAGTTCAACGGTGCCAAAATTTAGGTTATACTCAGCAAGCACAGAAGAGAAACTCTACATCGCCGAGACGCCGACTAGTTACATTGAGACAAAACGCCCAGATGGCGATAAACTACAAACTTCTTCGACAAAGCCTATCCTTGAATTAGCCTAACAACTGGCATCTGGGGCCATATAAATAGGTACACTGCCTCAAGTTCATTTTGACCTATGAATAGACCAGCTAATTAGCAATCATGGATACTGGCATAACCATAAACAAGATATTACAGGTTTAACTATTGAGTACCTAGATGAAAAGTTCATAATAAACGGATTCTGAAAAATCTCTGGTTTGCAACCCAGCCTCCACGCTATTGCACAGTAACTAACATTTAGTTCTGTTAGTGTTATAGACAGTCATAATAGAATTTCAACAGGATTAAACGTGGAACTTCTTAAATGCCTTTAAATTTTAATATCATCAAAATCCTAGAAATGCACATTACGTTCTCAGAGTGTTAAATATTTATGTTTTCTTAGGAACGTATAGTACTACCTAATAACTACCTAAGTTATTCCAGCGCGCAGCCCACAAACCGCACCGCCTAAATATTTTCAGCTTCAAGCTAACACTTTCGCTTCCAGAAATTCACATGTGGCAACGCAAGTAAGGCAGTAATCGCCTATACCCTATAGCTTTAATTATACAGAGTACAAATACTATCAACATTCAACAAATCATCAGTTTCCCTATGACGAACGCACAGAACAAGCTTTACGAAGTCAGACGTGTACCGTCAGCATTATTGCATCAGAAATTGTAATCACGCGGGAAAAGTTAAGTTCCACATTGCTCAACGAATAACACTCAATACCAAGAATGTGATATAATACACGCTTTGCAGCCGGCCGGCCAACGGCTCAGCCAATGAGAGTAGAACACAGTTGGTTAGGGGAATGGCGCTTGGGAACTATCTGCGCATCACGGCGTTTCAATAACATCAATTTAAAATTAAATTATACAAGCAATCAAATTTATCATACAGCTAGGATCATAATGTAGATATTTTTTAAACTGTTAACCGATTTACAATAGCATTTCCAATTGGTATGGACAATTGGACAGAATTGTTGGACATTTTGCTACAGACAATCGACAGGATTCGCCCCCTTTCATTTCTCGCCCATCTATTCATTTACTTTCATATTTGTTCATCTTAAAAGTACGTCAAACACGAATATGAATGCGCATTGTTCCCGTTGCACCATACACCAAAACCAAATGTCACAAAGGAAATGAGTTTGAGAACAGAGCCACGGCACCCATTGTTCACGTACCGTCCAACCTCCAACGAGTGACGGCTAGAGCTGCTCGACCTGCTTATATACTAGCCAAAGAGCCGGTGATGCCGCAGAGGAATGAACGATTTGGCAAGCGTAGCCGGGCAAGAAAATAACGAAAAGAATCCGAAGTGAAAAATAAAGAACTGATGCCGTAATACAAGGTTAAATTTCCATTACCAATTTCTTGACACTATCGTATACGTAAATGAACTTAGGAGAAAAAAAAGGTTACAAAAATTGGTTTTTATAAACATAATGTACAGAAAACCACGAATGAACATTGTCAATGTTTCTAACGTCAGAAATTTACCGAACTATATTTTCTTCTTAATTTCCTAGATCTCACAGAAATGCTGACTAAATTCGGTATTGATTATTGCAAGCCTCCACGTGATGCTCGTAGGAGGTCAAGGCCAACTTTTATCCCGTACATTTCTTTTGCTATCTTAGGCGTTAAATAAAAAAAACAAATATACCTCTAATATGAACTTTGTGTGTCAAATGAGTGAAAATTGAACGATAAAAACATTTATAACGGCGTTCAAAGCTTAGAATGTGTTGCAACTTTCACTGCAAACTGTGCTGTAAAACTTGATTCCTCTGTCGAGGGAAACAGAAATTTTAACACATTTTGAACTCATCGGAACATTATGCTACGATTTGGCAAAATTATTAGATCTATAAATGTGTGAAGCTATCTAAAATGGTACTATAATATCGAAATTGGGCTTGTAATGGCGGTAACATTTCCCAGTTGCATATGGACAACACCAAAATATTATTTTTCTATGACGTTTTCTCGAAAATCCTGTTATTCTCACATTTTACGTCATAGAAATGTATATATAGATACATATATATTCAACAGAAATATATATTCTGTTACAAATCGACGAAATACTTGATAGTTACAACCGGGCCCGTGTGTGTGTGTGTGTGTGTGTATGGTTTAAAGAAGTGTGTGTTAGACTCGAATATGAAAGATTTGTTAACTGGCTTTCAGTCTAATAAAGATACGACCAACCAAAAAATATTCATTAACACTATATTTGAATATTAGAATGATGTACAGAGGTTGAAGTTGAGCGAGTATGTGTGAAGTAATGGGAATGTTTGACATCAGGAGCGTCTCGAGACGTGTCTTGGAGCTCGTCCAACTCGGCAGATAAAGTTGAGCAAGATTAACAAGGTTCTTATATGAAGTTCAACACGTGAAGTAAAAAATAATCTGCAGACATAAAAACGGCGTCAACTTGGTAATTTATTCTCAATAAATTAGAACTCGTTGCTCCCCTCAGCATGAAAGGATTTTGATGACTAATTCAAAATAAATGATGAACTAAAACTGAATGAACCCGACTTCATTATTGTGATGTATATTCAAGTATATTAAATCGAATGTGAAAGTGCACATTAATTATTTAAGCATTTGAAAAATCAATAATAAAATGTTTACGACATATTTAGGGAAATACAATACAAGTCTTAGCTTTTCCTGGCAAGATCAAATGCCCTGCTCGTGCGGACGTGGGTTCGATGAAACCAACGATGCACGCCAAAAGTGGAACCCAACAAACAGAAATTGTCTGTGCAATTAGCCGCAGAGGACAGCCAAGACTTTAAGAAGCTGAGGTACTCTATTGGTCAAGAGCTAAGACAGTACAGGTCTTTGACGCAGCTGTTGTTAACAAATCACAGCTCAAACAAAGACTAGTCAATAATTGGAGTACAAAGCGTAGACTTTTTTGCTTCCGTCGACATGACATCCCTTCTCGCCCAATGCTGCCAAGACAACATTATACCCTAAGGTTTTTTAACGTAAGAAGGGAGCTCATCGAAGTGCGCTAGTGAAGGTTGGAACAGCGTGGGAAAATGTACGTGATTCGATAAGATAGGATAAGCGAATTCCGTTTTGGTAGCCTCATTAAAACTCACAACTTCGACAAAATAATACAAGGCAGTGAGCTCGATTTAGATCAACTTTGTTCAAGAAAAATCCAGAAGGCGAGAAAGAGAAATCCAACGCCAACATGGGAATCTTATGCCTCCGCTGCCCGACGCTAGGAGAGTACAGCACCACGCAAGCAGGGAGCTAAATAGGGACCCGCTGCCCAAACAAAGAAGGACTACATTGAGCAAGCCGAGGCTCAGCTACGTGACGAGTGTGACTGAGTCATGAAAGAAGAAGAACCGAGTTTCGCAACGCAGAACTTCTTTTAAATTCAAACTTTCTAATGTACCACATTTTTGACAGTCAGTAGGTTTTCAGATGAATAATCATTTATGGGATTAATTTGTAGACATTGAACCAACACTGCATTGTTTCGTAAAGTGAAAAAGTTAATGTCATGGCACATATAAGCTGAGCCTGAACACAATCGTGCTGTAAGAGATAAAATGGAGATCGGAAGAAAACTACGATCGTTGAGAGTGAATTACTTTTTCAATTAATAGGTAGTCAAAATTTCTTATGGAGTTATTGTCCAGAAATTTAAAAAGAACACGAAACCGATTTGCCACCACCTTGATTTGCTAGATTCAATTAAGCCATAATTTTTGGCACAGTGAGACAATTCTCATCAATTTCGTTTAAAGATTGATCCCAGGCATATATAGTGCAATAAATTTTCTGTAGACTACATCATAATTGCAAAAAATTGATGTTAATTAATTAAACAGTTAAAACCTCATGTCGTGCTCAGCCGGCATGATTGATGGCAGTGCAGTTCAACAGTAGAGCACTAGCAAAAAAAAAAAAAAAAACGAAGCTCGTCCTGCCTGAAGTTGGTGGCTGCTTCACGTCCCATGATACGAACGGTTGGGGGGAGGGTGATATGAGGGGCTGCATCCTGTAGGGAGTCTATGCACTCTGCCGCTTTGTACGTGCATGGCAGATCTGCCGCCGCGCTGTTGTACGAGAACTAACAGTCTTTATTGCTTTCAGCTTTTAGGCCGTACACAGCTAACACATACACGGTGAAAAGATGAGCAGGGGATGCTATAAGATCTTGGTAACAAGTAAAAGCTCTAACAATGTAGCGATTCTTCACAAGCAAGTGAGTGTGATGTTGCTGCCCTGATACCAGCATAAGTGGGGAGGGAGTTGAGGGTTGGAGGGACGATAGCTAATGCGATTGTTGCAAGAACATCACCTAACCTAGGGATGAGTTAGCCATCAACGGAATGTCCGATGTAAAACGACATGCAATCGACACGTTTTTCAGTTCTTCACGAAGAGATGGCTTATGCTACAGAATCGATGGAGCAGGTTCAACGCCATACACCTGAGATTGGTGACC